ATTTTAATATTTTCATGTGATGTTGACAAATTTGAAACATTATTTAAATATATGTAATATTTTGAACAAACGGTTTACCATATTAATTTTAATTTTTTTTCAACTAAAACCCCCCCCCCCAAAAAAACAGTAGCAATGCAACAAAGGTCAGTAATGTTTTCTTTACTGACTTTCAAATCTTGTCTTTTTCCCCCCTTACATCCACCTTTACTTGTAATGACAGACTCAATCCTCCTCGGCATGTAACATGGTGTTCCACAAATCTCTGAAGATGTTCTGTCATTTATTAGAAATGTTGTTTTTTTTTCATCCAGTCTTTGATGAAGATGTTAACTTTTTGTATGATGTTGGCAGTGTGCTTTGTAGCATTATAATGCTGGAATATTCCTTTTCTGTCAAGCTTCTGCAGACGGGGAGTCATCTTGTCAGCCAATATTCTGATATCTCTAAGGGCATTCATAGTGCCATCGATAAATGTCGTCTCTCCAACTCTTATGCACCCATACAGCTCCATATTATCATTCTTCCAACATGTGCTTCACTGTAACTGCGGTAACCCATTCCAGGTTCATGCCAAACATGCTGGACCCCATTTTAGCAAAACACATTTATGCTGGTTTTATCTGAACAACATCTGTGTTCCTGATACACTTTTTTTTAAAAACTTTCTTTTGCAAGCTTCCAGTTTTGTGCCCAATAGCAAGCACTTTCTATACCTTCTGATTACTGCTGCAGCTGGGTAGCCATCTTTTTCTAGTTGGTCACCAATCTTCTGGCATCCTTTTCTGTTTTAGTGAAGTCTCATAATTCTGACAGTTCTTTTCTGCATGGAGCCATGACGCAGGGATGCAGATTGGCACAGCCCATAGGTCCAACACTAAAAATGTTCTGGTGTTTAAATGTTATTTTATCACCATGTTCATGCATGGGCTGCAAGGTGGCTCGGTGGTTAGCATCGTTGGCTCGCAGCAAGAAGGTCGCCGGTTCGTGTCCCATTGAGGACACCCGGGATCTTTCTG